GGATAGGGATCCCTGTACAGGGAGCTGCTCCCTCATCCCCCCAACCCCTGTGCATCCAGCCCCCCACACACTCAGACCCTCCCCCACTGAGCCCCACTCCCCCTGCACCTGGACCACCCCAACAAGCCACTCACACCTGGATCCCCACCCCACTGAGCTCCAACCAGCTGCACCTGGATCCCTGCCCCACTCCCACAGCATCTGGACCCCCCACTGAGCCTCCACACCAACCCCCCTGCTGAGCCCCAACCACCTTCACCTGGACCCCCCTGCAAAGTCCCATTACCATTGCACCCAGAACCCCTCAATAAGCCCCTGTGCATCCAGATCCCCCCCGCACCCAGATCCCCCACTGAGCTGCCCACACCCAGATTGCCCCATACAGAATCCTCTCAACCCACACCTGGATCCCCCCACATTAAGCCCCTTCACACTTGGATCCTGCCTTGCTGAGCTTGCCTGCCCACACCTGGTGCACCTGGCATGGATGGGCAGAGAAGGGCAACACAAATAATAAGAGGTATGGAACAGTTTGCATCTGAGGAAAGATTAAAAAGACTGTGATTGTTCAGCTTAGAAAAGAGACGACTGAGGGGGATATAATAGGTGCCTACAAAATCATGACTGGTGTGGAGAAAGTGAATAGGGAAAAGTTATTTACCGCTTCATATAAACACACAAACTAGGGGTCACAGAATGAAATTAATAGGCAGCAGGTTTAAAACAAACAAAAAGAAGTACTTTTCCATCCAATGCACAGTCAACCTGGGGAACTCGTTGCCAGGGGATGTTGCAAAGGCCAAAAGTATAACTGGGTTCAAAAGAGAATTAGCTACATTCCTGGAGGATAGGTCCATCAATGGCTATTAGCCAGGATGGTCAGGGATGCAACCCCATGCTTTGGGTGTGCCTAAACATCTGACTGTCAGAAGCTGGGACTGGACAACAGGGGATGGATCACTGGATAATTGCCCTGTTCTGTTCATTCCCTCTGAAGCATCTGGCACTGGCCACTGTCAGAAGACTGGATACTGGGCTAGACCCAGTATGGCCATTCTTATGTTCTTAAATACACACACTATATTTTCAGGAACACAGTACAATTATTTCTGGAAAGCTGATCTCAGGGTCTCCCTCCTTGGTTACAACAAAATTTAACTAAGAACACAAATTAATAGATTCAGCAATTCCTCCCCTGCTCTCTCTAGCAAAGACGATCTTAACACAAGATGGGAGGGGTAGAGAATGGGGGAGCACCTGCTCTTTTAATATTTTAATTTGGCTGTGTGCGTGATTTCCTAGGTTAAAAAAACCAGCTGTGTGTAATTATTTATTCATCTGGGGGTAGCCCCAAGAGCACCAGCCACGCTATGTTCAGCACCATGCAAATGTGTAATAAAAAGATGTCCCTGCCCAGAAGACCTTACAGTCTAAGTATGACAAGAGATGATGGATGCAACAAACAGATGGAGAATGCAAAGGGGCAGTGAGACTTTATACTATGAGTGGTATCCTCGCACATGATTTGCATCCTTCTGGGGTTGATTGTTTCAGAATCTTGTCTGAAAATAATGACACCGCTGAGGCTGGGGAGGTTGGGGCCAAAAATCGGATTATATATCTTTGCCATTTGTAATTTATGTTTTCCCCTAAAATAAATGCTTCAAATATGGTAAAAATTCCCCCTTGCTCACCTTTTCCCTCCCCCAACCAACACGCCCAGGACCCTACAATAATGAGCCAGTGTGTAGCTCGAGAGCCCACAACTCTACAACAACAAGCCGACATCTGCCGTCTTAGTGCTCATGAGTGACCCTCCAATTGCAGATGAGCGAGCACTGTCTCAGCCCTCATGTTACTCTAACGAGCCAATGCTTAGTAATAACTAAATGCACGAGTGACCTTACAAAAATGAAGCGGCATGTGCAGCCTTAGGGCTCACAAATGATAACAATCTGCTATGCACAGCAGCAAAGGACCTCTGTGCTCTGGGAAGGGAGTTATATACTTAAATTAGTACCAGCGCATCCCATCTTCTCTGCATCTGTCCCTTAGAGAGGGGGCTACGTAGAGCAAGGGCTCTTTACGATTGTCTCATAAAAGACTGAGCGTAGGGTGACCAGATGTCCCGATTTTATAGGGACAGTCCTGATATTTGGGGCTTTTTCTTATATAGGCACCTATTACCCCCCACCCCCTGTCCCGATTTTTCACATTTTCTGTCTGGTCACCCTAGCTGAGCATGTTGTTGGGCCTTGCCCCATAATTCCTAATAACAAGCATGCGATGGGAGGTTTGGTAGGGGAAGCTGCATGGAGACCTCTCATGGGCACAGCTCAGGCTCCACAAGTCGGGAAGGGGCTAGGCCAGAGGGGTGGCAAGGCTCTGTGGTATTGTCTTCATTCAGCCAGGCAGAGATTCCCCATCATAAGTCAATGCAAAGAGCACAATGTTACGTGGCAGCCCCCTCTGTTCAGCCACCCCTGGCCTGGGGCAGCTCCTGGCAGTGATCACAGGTGAGGCCAGCTGTTGGAGATGGGAGCTGTGCAGAGCCACTGGCCTTCTGTGAAATGGTCCTGCCCTCATGGAAGCCCTATAGCTCTTGGAACATCCCTGAGCCTGGAGGGATCATTCCATGGGGGCGGGGTGCAAGCCCCCCCCCCCCCCCCCCCCAGGCCCACCAGCTGACCCTGAGGAAGTGGGTCATGATGGAGCCATCATGCCAGGCCAGCAGGGTCGCACGCAGCACTTTTTAAACCCCTCTAGCCCTTTCCAAGGAAAGCCTCCAACTAGCGACCTGGATGTCGGGCTATCTGAGTAAGTCTGCAGAGAGCCTGAAATGAGAGCTCAGAGTGGAAGGGGCTCTTCCATTAATCTCACCACCTGATAACCCTGAAACCTAACAATGTCATGCAAGTGGCAACATTAACTGTTTCACTGTAACAGAAATATCCAGCAGCTTGGGGATAGCGGCAGTGTTCCCTCTGGCTGGGGGTGCAGGCTCCAGGGTGGGGCAGAGGGTTGGGGTTTGGGGGGCTGCAGGCTCTGGGGTTGGGCCAGGGATGAGGGGGTTGGGGTTCAGGAGGGGGCTCAGGGCTGGGGCAGAGGGTTGGGGTGTAGGGGGGGTGGGCTCTGGGGTGGGGCCAGGGTTTGGGGTGCAGGCTGCCCCGGGGCTGCAGTGGGGAGAGACGACTCCCCACAGCCCTCTCTTGCTGCAACAGCTTGGGACCTGGGAAGGCATCTCTCCCCAGCCGCAGCAGCTCCAGCGGGCCTGGGCCGGGCCGAGGGGGGGGCTCCTCTCCCCTGGCCACAGCTGCTCCCCCGGCCGCAGCGCTGAGCCCCTGCACGGGGCTTAATAGGCAGGTATGCAGCCACGCAGCTTAGAGGGAACTTAGGTGGAGTTTTGTAGAGCTCCCCTAGGCATTTTTCCTACATCCCACGGATTTCCCTCCCCACAAAACGGACTGACAGCCAGTCCCTCGCAAAGCTCCTGGTCTGCAGCCCCTAGGGTTTCGCTGGGAGTCTCCAGAATCAAGCGCTATCTCCCAGAGGCTACTGAAGCCAGACCAAGAGATTTCAGGCTGCTAAAAGTCTGGTGGCACAGCGGGGCTAAGGCAGGCTCCCTGCCTGGCCTGGCCCTGCGCTGCTCCCAGAAGCGGCCGGCACATCCCTGCATCCCTTGGACAGAGACAGGGGGGGTCTCCGCGTGCTGCCCCCGCCCCAAGCTCCAACTCCGCAGCTCCCATTGGCCGGGAATTGTGGCCAACGGGAGCTGTGGGGGGCAGTGCCTGCATTTCTGACCCCAGCCCAGACCCCCAACCCAGAGCCCACCCCCCGCACCCCAACCCCCTGCGCCAGTGCGGAGAAAATGAGTGAGGGTGGGGAGAGCTAGAGGAAAGAGGGATGGGATGAGAAGGGGCGGGGCCTCGGAGGGGGCGGGGCCAGGGGTTGGGTTTTGTGCAGTACTTGGCACCGTTCCCCACACCAGCTGCCCTCTGCAGCCGGGCGCGCTCAAAAAGGGATCCGAGCAAAAGGTGAACAAACCCGGCTGCCAGGCACATGCTCCACCCTGCTTCCCTCCGGCTGCAGCTTCTTGCCCCGGCCCCCCGGAGCTGCCCTGCCCGCTCACTTGGAGGCAGGAGCAGCTGCTCACAGCGGCGGCCGCTGTGCGCCTCGGTTGCCCCGGGCCGAGCGCTGGCGGGGAGGCGACAGGTGGCTACTCACCCAGCGCTGCGCGGCCGGCCGGGCTCTGGGGGTCCGTGCGCCCCTCCCCGCCGGGTCACTGGCAGGGCGGCGCCGCTCCGTGACCCGTCCGCGTCTGGCTTTCCGGGGCCCGCCACCTCTCTGCTCAAGCGGCGGGCTGGGGAAGTCGGCGGCTGCTCCCCGCCCCTGCAAGGAAACACCAGGCGGCCGGGCTGGGTGGAGCCCCAGGGCGGGGCTCCCGAGCTTCGCACGTGGGGTCGCGCTCCCGGGGTCGCTGGAGGGGAGGGGGGCACCGATTTCCCCGGGGGTCCCCAGGCGCGTTGGTGGGACAGGTGCTGCCGAAGCGGCATTGAAGCGGCGGCCGGGCTCTGCTGACAGGCCCTGAATACGGCTCGCCAAGAGCAAGGGAGAGACCAGAGCCGAGCAAGCGGGGGACCCCTCCGGAGCCTCCCCCCACCGGCTCTACGTGACCGCAGCCGGGCTCCGCAAGTGGCCCTTCTCCCCCGCTGTGCTGCCTCCAGCACTGCTGGGAGGAGATCCCTGCTCTGCGCTGCTGTCAGCTAGCCCCCGCCTGGGGCCGCACAGCAGCGACATCGGCTCTCTCCCGTCCCGTCCCCCTTGCGATCAGATCAGAGCTACGGACCCACCCAGCTCCGCTCAAAGAGCCCCACCTGTCCCTGCTCCTCCCTGGGCGGGCTGGGTGTTTCGAAGTCCGCTGGTTGGCTGCCTGCGAGGCTCACGCCGCTTGACTGACAGCGGCTTGTTTTGTAACCTCACTTCCAGCCTTAGAAGCCAAGTGTTACCCAACCAGGCTGGGGATTCCCAGGCTAGAACGCGCTGTAGCCGGCTCCTGGTGGGCTCTGCGGGGAAAGGGGCCGCCTGGTGTAGCTGGAGGGGTCCCTGCTGAGCGGGGAACAGAGCTGGGGCCCCAAGGAGGAGCACCCAGGTGAGAAGGAAGTGGAGATGGGCACATAGGCCTGCTGCAGTGTCCGCCTCTGCAAAGCTGTCAGGGCAATACCTGGAGATTAGCGTGACCAGATGTCCCGATTTTATAGGGACAGTCCTGTTTTGTGGGTATTTTTCTTATATAGGCTCCTATTACCCCCCACCCCCGTCCCGATTTTTCACACTTGCTGTCTGGTCACCCTACTGGAGATAAAGTGTGCATTTCTAATAGTGAGGGTAATTAACCGTTGGAACAATGTACCCAGGGCTGGGGTGGATTCTCCTGCACGGGCTGTTTTTCATTCCAGGCTGTGTGGTTTCCCTAAAAGATCTGCTGTGGCTCAAACAGGAATTGAGTCAGGGAAAGTCCTATGGCCTTTGCTATGCAGATCAGACTAGGTGATGGCAGAGTCCCTTCTGGCCTTAGAATATGTGCAATCTGTGTGGCCGGACTGAGGCTGATTGTGTGAGCCCAGATCCTCCAAGGTTTCAGGTGCCTAATTCCCAGAGTTCCCAGATCCCAAGGTATTTAGGCACCTAACTCTCATTGCTTTCAGTGCTGTTTGGCTTGGGGGGGGGGGGGAGAGGAGTCACATGCCTGTTCTCAAGGTGCTTTCCTTTGCCCCCAGGAGACCCGACACTGAGACAAAGGAGAAGGAAGGCACAGACCAGAGAGCCGAACCCTCAGGATGAAGCACATATCGATCCACTGGTTCCGTAAGGGTCTTCGCCTTCACGATAACCCTGCCCTGCTGGCAGCAATGACAGACTGCCACAAGCTCTATCCCATCTTCATCCTCGACCCCTGGTTCCCAAAGAACATGCGGGTCAGCGTCAACCGCTGGAGGTTTCTGGTCGAGTCGTTGAGAGATCTGGACGAGAGCCTTCAGAAACTGAACTCAAGGCAAGTCCTGTCCAGGCAGATACTCAGCACGAGTATAGGGAGGGCTAATACAGTTAGCTGGGGTTGTCTCTGGTACCTGGAAAAACAATGGGCCTAATTCTGCTAACCCTCTCCCCATGGGATCCGCATTGCATTCGCTGGGAGCTGTGTACATACAGGGCTTGCAGGGTGGGCCCAGTAGATGTTAGAATTCTGCTTCCTTGGGTCCCTCTGGTCCCAGCTGCCTGGAGCTCCCTGTCCCAGAGAATACGGTGCCATTGAGCTGTGGATTCACAGTGCAAAGTGCTGGCAGGTTCTGTGCCTGGAGAACTGCCTTCCTCTGAAAAATTAAATCTAAGTCAAACAAATGTATTTTCTCCTCCCCCCCCCCCATTTCACAGCTGTTACTTTTAAACGATGAAATGCTTCCATCTGCTAGATGAATGAGCCATACAGGGGTAGCTGCTTCCACCCCGCCCCCAAAATACCCAGGGCCTGGTTCTCTGTAGCTCTGCACCCTGTGACATTGTGACACCAGTGCACGGTTACCATTCTGACTTAATTGTGTGTGACGCACACTTCGCCCAGTGACAGCATGGGGCACTGCAGAAATGGGCTCCCAATGCACATCCCTCTAGATGGTCCCAAAGTAGGATCAGGAGCAGCTCCAGAACGTCAGGGAGCTGCTTGAGCTTAACTGAATGGGAATTGAGCGGCCCTTTCTAAAGGGCACTTCGTTATGAGAGCAAGTGCAGCGAAGGAGGGCTACAGGGCTGGAGTAACCAGCAGCAGAAAGGCTTTTACTGAGGGGTTGATGGGGATGAATTTGTCCAGGAGGGGAGGTTCCTCACAACCCTCTGTGTCTCCAGCTGCCTAATTGAGATGAAGCATGCAGCATGCTTGAGAGGTCTTAGACATGAGCCACTTCGCCAAAGGGGTAGAAGCCAGGTTCCAAAATATCCTCCTTGCCAGGATCCCACATCGGACCACTGTCTTCCCCAGCTATGTGGCCTGCATTTCCCTTCCCACCCTGGGATGAGCAGACTGCTGCTTACAAATCCGTGTCCCAGCTGTGGAGGGGTAGGGGCTCCTTGCACAGCTCATAGGCTGGAGCCCCAAGGTAAGACTACCAAGGGACTCGGCATGGAGAGATCTCATGCTCTGTGTTCCCTGCTAAGCTCTCAGACGTAGAAGCCAGAGCAACGTTCTAAGCCTGAGGAACCCAACCGTTCCTCAGCCAGGAGCTTGAGGGATCCACCCGACAGGCCGTAAAATGGAGCAGGGTGTAGCTGCCTTGACTTTTGACATGGAAGTGTGACCCATGGAGACAAGTCCCAACATGCCATGCTTGGAAGTGGCCTAGCATGACTGTATGTGTAGACTACAGTTCCCACTATGCAGTGCTCTCTCTTGAGCCCAGCCACCAAACCTGGACTCCTGGGCCTTGCTGTTTACCTTGCCCCTGGCTGACTAGGTTTTGGTGGCGTCTCCACAGGCTGTTTGTGGTGCGTGGCCGCCCCACGGAGATATTCCCGGTCCTCTTTAAAGAGTGGAAGGTGACGCGGCTGACGTTCGAGATAGACACGGAGCCCTACTCCAGGCAGCGTGATAGCGAGGTGGCGAGCCTGGCGGCTGAACATGGCGTTCAGGTTATTCAGAAAGTGTCCAACACCTTGTATGACACTGACAGGTGGGTCCCAGGAGTGGGGTCCTCATGTGGCTTGCTCATTGCTGGGCATTAAAGCCCCTGGAGTCCCAGCAAAAGAGGGTGCCAGTGCCCTCTGCCCCGTGGGCTCTCCCCGGTGATAGGTCCCTTTGATTATTCACAGAGTAATTGCTGAGAACAATGGCAAGGTGCCTCTGACCTATGTGCGCCTGCAGACGCTCCTGGCGGCCCTGGGACCACCAAAGCGGCCCGTGCCAGCTCCCACTCTGGAAAACCTGAAGGGTGAGTGGAACAAAGGGTTTGGTAATATTGTAATGATTTTTATGTGCCTGAGTTTCCTTCCTTGCAGGTGTGTGTCACCTCGCCATGTGGGTGGAACAAACCGGGTCGTTAAGGAACTGGTTGAAACCGACCCAGATCAAGAGAGGGTCCTGAGTGACAACAGGAAGTCCCATTGACACTCAGCAGTGGGACGCTCTGGCAGGCAGGGGTGGTGTGTGTGTGTGGGGGGGGGGGGTGCGTGCGCGCAGTGTGGCCCTGCCTGGAAACAAAGGGCTGAGCCATGCCTGGGTGGGAATGAAGAGTGGGCTTCTGAGGAAACTGGCTGCTCTCCCCAGGCTGGGACCAGACAAGGGAGAGAGACTGGGACAGAGATGGAGTCCGACCTAGCATGGCTGGCATTTGCGCTGGCTTGGCCAGGGTGGCCTATGGCTTAACTCTGCCTCTCTGGGCTAACGTAAGGCCTTCCAGCTTCGATAGCCAGGTGACTTATAAATGGCTCCCTTGTTTGGAAAAGGCTGCGTGGGTTGTTGCAAATACCCAGTGAGAGCACTGTGCCCTGACAGGCCCAGTACAAGCCTCTGCAGGAGTCTGGGTTGGTTGGATTCGCTGCAGGGAGCCGCAGAGAGAGACGGGGTTTGTTGGTGCCCAAAGGCCCAGTCTCAGAGTCCTGGAAGCCAGGGGCTGCCTCCGTGGAACTGTGTGGGGGCTGGGCACACTAAAGGGATTGGTAACAGTCTGACTATAGACTAGATCCTGTGGACGGTGAGTATGGGACAAGCCTTTGTCAATGTGGTGGTTCTCTGCTAGGGGGACATGTCCCAGCACTCTGACTGCAAGCTTCTGTGGTTGGTATTCTAGGCTTCCTCGGTGTGTTCCAGAAATCCCTATGCGGTTTCCATGGGAAATGGGATTCTTCTTCTCCTAGACTTTGGTGTAGTGGTGTTATGAGGCTGTAAAACAGTTGCTGTGTTCCACCCCAGAGGTGGCTGCATTTCAGTACTGGGTGCAGCAATCCCTCTTTAGTTCTATAAAGCACTTTGAGATTCTTTACAACTAAAGAGGCTAGACAAATTTACGGTATATTTTAGTGTTGGTGCACGGAAGTACTGACTGTACCTATTATCCCAGATTGCTGTACCCCCTGGAAAGACAACCACGATGCAGAGTATGGGATCCCTACGCTGGAGGAACTGGGTCAGGACCCGGAGCAAGCAGGTCCTCGCCTCTACCCGGGAGGAGAGTCTGAGGCGCTTTGCAGGCTTGACTTGCATATGAACAGAACGGTATGGGAGTTAGCATTGATCCCCTCTCCCCCTCTGAGGCCTGGGGCAGCGAAGGGCTAACTCTGAGCCCTTGAGCTTTCAAGCAAACGGTGTAAGAGAAGCATCTTAGGTTGATTCCCTGCAACGTTGTGCTGAGCCCACATGGGCTTTGGCAGGAGCGTCCTGGAGAGATCCAGGAGTGTGGCTGTAAGTACAGCACTGCCAGCAGCTCTATTAAAGACCTCAGGCCTAATTCATTGTTGCGTGGCACCTCAGTCACTTACCCCTGTGTTAAGCGGGTGGAAAACGCTAATTAGAATGGTAGTGCCTGGAACTACTCCCCTCTCTGTTTTATTTTGGTACCAGGATCATAGGTGCTGGAAGTAGGGGTGCTGCCGCACCTCCTGGCTTGAAGTGGTTTCCATCATATATAGTTAGGCCATCCTCTTCCCTTGGGCAGGGAGTCCTCTGTCTGGCTTCGGGCACCTCTCATCTGCTTCTCTTGTCCTTTTTCAGGCCTGGGTGTGTAATTTCCAGAAGCCCCAGACTGAGCCCAACTCCCTGAACCCTAGCACCACCGTGCTGAGCCCTTACATCAAGTTTGGATGCTTGTCAGTGCGAACCTTCTGGTGGAGGTTGGCTGAAGTCTACCAGGGGGTAAGGAGGAAACCAGGTTTGCTCGGCAGCTCTTTTATCAGGCAGCTGCTTGCCAGCACTTGCGTTAGGTCTAAAGGAGCCGGTAGGTGCACCGTGCAGGTCAGAGTGCTCTGCCCTGCAAGGGCTGCTGGATTATATGGGTGTGGGGCATTTGGAGTAAGATCTATTGCTCTGGGTAGGCAAATAACCTTCCTGGAACGGTCAGTGAAGATGCTGCCTCTGTGCCAATGGGAATGGGGCATGAATGGCAGCAGGAGGAGGATGGGTGAGCTGGATGGTGCAGCTGGTTAGACTTAGACCATAACCTCTCGGGTTTAAACCCGAGAATCACAAAGGAAAATCTGTCTCGTGGCTCGTCCTAGGCTTAGTTTGTCCATAAAACCAGGGGATTTTAGGGTTTGGCTCTATCGTAGCCTCTGAATAAGAGAGCCCAGGCCTAGAAGGGCAGGGGCTGATGTGGATCAGGAGTGAAGTACCTTGGCAGAGCTGCATGCGTGGTGGAATCTTTTTACAGCGCCTCCCTGGATTATGCCCAGCTCTAGCCCATCCTATTAATCCCTCATTTTCCAGAGGCCTTAAAGTCCCCTCAGTGTTTGGGTATATGAATGCCTGGGAAACCAATAGCAGTAATCCCTGCCAAGGGACCACCATTGGATCCCTTCTCCGGGGCTCTCCTCGTTTATGTGCCAGAGACAAGAATGACGTCTGCCCTTTTTTGACAGAGGAAACACTCCAACCCGCCCGTGTCTTTGCACGGGCAGCTCCTGTGGAGGGAGTTCTTCTACACGGCAGGAGCTGGGATCCCCAACTTCAACAAGATGGAAGGCAACCCCGTCTGCGTGCAGGTGGACTGGGATAACAATCCAGAGCACCTCAGAGCCTGGAGCGAGGTACCCATTTTTGGCAACGTTGGCCAATGACAATGATGTCCCAGTGACAAGAGCCTTGTAGCAAGGTGGTCTGCCAAGGCCGGGGGAGAGAGTTCGATTTACCCAGTTAGGAAGGGGTCAGGTGATCCTTGCAAAGGGCCGAGAGAGGTCAGCTGGAGGGAGGGTTTAATCTGAATTAACAAACTGCGCCCTGAGGGAAGGGCCTGGTGAGTCCTCCCTGGCCTCTGGGAGCCCGGCCAGCAGCCTTACACGCCTGATTGTTGTTCTAGTGCACTCCTGGCAGGGCCGTCCCTCTGCCTCCCAGCACCGGTGGGGTTATTCCCACCACTGAGCGTTGGAGAACCGAGTGCTAACGCCAAGGAGGTTAGCGGTGTGCTGGCTAGAGGGAACGCACTTAGAGACAGCCTGGCTGTCGGGTTTCACCCTCAGGCAAGGCTGGCATAGGAGAGCTCTTGGATTGCTGGGAAAAGTGCAGCAAAGCTTCCTCAATTACATGTTTATTGGGAGCTGCAGAGCGGAATAGGACGGTTAAATGCCCAGTGCTTGCAGGGCCCGAGTACATCCTGGTGTAACTCTAAGTGGAGTTCCACCAGGGATTAATTTGATCCATTCTTGCTGATGCTTGTCTCAAAGGGAGAACTGCTCAATTCAGGGACGAGGTAGAGACGGTGTGAGGAACAGTCTCTCGGCAGACAATAGACATGGTCACCAGATACCTCAGGCAGGCATGGGTAGCCAGGGCTAGAACCTTGGTCCTTCAGCTTCAAAATACAGTAGCTGCCACTCGAGGTACCAGAGATCTCCCTTGGCTGGTGGCAGTAATTGGTTGCTTAGCTCCATGGGTCTTGCCACCAGCCCCACACCTCACAGGTGAAGCCAGGAATGTACCCCGCACATGGCTGCCTGGATTAGCTTGCTGGAGGTTTAAGCTCAAGTTCTTTCCCTGGCAGGGCCGGACAGGCTACCCCTTCATAGATGCCATCATGGCCCAGCTGCGCACTGAAGGCTGGATCCATCACCTGGCCCGGCATGCTGTGGCCTGCTTCCTGACTCGAGGAGACCTGTGGATATCCTGGGAGCAAGGGCAAAAGGTCAGGCATGTTGCAAGGGGCTCTGCTGAAATGGTGGGGGCCTCCAGGACCTTCACGGTTGACAAAGAAGCAGACGGGCTGGCTGAGGGCTGCACCATTGCCCTGCAGACGTGGATAGCCTGGCGTTCATCCCAGAACTCTCCACCCTGCCACCAATGAGCAAACAGTGGGGAGGGAGGTGGAGATTGCACCACGGCCAATGGCTGCGAGGAGCAAGGCTGGCCTTATAACCCCCCGTGCTGCTTGGAGCCACTGGGAACGAGGCTGGGAGTTCCCTCCCTACTCCAGCCCAGCTGCCCCATCCCCACCTCTGGCAGCAGGAGCTACCTGTGGTCCCACTGCCAGAGGGGAGATCAGGCTTGCCCTTGGGCTGCTGAACAAGACCTGCAAGGACGTGGGACCTCCAGGCTGTCATTCATGGTGCTGGGCTGTACAGCTGGTCGGGTGGGAATGGAGACTGGAGAGCGGCCAGAGACTCCTGCAGCCTCTTACCCAGTGAGAAACCAAACCCGTTCCGATGAATTAGTGAGCGTCTGAGGCTCTTCCCTGCCTGCGACTCTGGGCCCAGCGCCATGCAGCTAAGCCAGGCTTGGGAAGGGAGGTGTGAATAGCCACGGGCATGGCGGAAACCTGTTCCAATGACCCCTTCTCCCTGGCTGCTCTGACAGCCCTTCTCTAATCACAGTTATATGGCACCAACCTACAGGCACTATCTTTACCCTCCACTTCTGGTGTTACACGGGAGGTGCCAATTCTTTCAGAAAGCTGTCGGGGTTCCTGGCTGGGCGCCTTGCCCACCCAGGTTGTGTGAGGGTCGGGGAGTTCCCCTGCCACAGCCGGGGGGGAAAGTAGGAGGGGAAAACAGGGAAATGGAGTCCACGAGCCACCTGGGTTGACTCCCTGGGGACCGGCTGCCTGATGAGCAGCTGCCACCCCTCCTTGGTGCCATGGGGCAGGAGCCCAGCTGAGCCCAGGCTGAAGGGAAGCAGAAAGTTTTGGAGGTGGGGGCGGGTTACGAATGATCTCACCCTTCCCCAAAGCATCCACTCCTCCCACCCCAGGTCTTTGAGGAGTTGCTGCTGGATGCTGACTGGTCCCTGAACGCTGGCAACTGGCAGTGGTTGTCGGCGAGCGCCTTCTTCCACCAGTTCTTCCGCGTCTACTCGCCCATCGCCTTCGGCAAGAAGACGGACAAGGGCGGAGAGTATATCAAGTAGGTGCAGGGCAAAGTCCAGCAGAGCCACGGCGGAGCCCAGCCTCTTCCTGGATCATGCGGGCGTCTGCTACAGCCCAGCAAGCGCTGCAGTCCGAGTGGGGCTCCGGCATGGCATTGCAGAGGGGACATAGCAGGGGTGGGGGAGGGTTGGGGGTTTCTGTCTTTCTATCTTCACCCAGGAGACTGGTAGTGGCAGTGAATCCTTCCTGCTCTAGACCGACAGTGACTGGAAGTAACCCCGTGTTGGGTGGTCTGTGAGGACAGGAAGTTGGGAGCTCTTGTCAGATTGCTACCCCCGGTTGGCAGCTTCAGTGGACAGGCCAGGAAATGAGTGGGCCAAAGATCCCATACCATGCTCTAGCCCCCTCAGCCTGGGCTGGCTAGGACACACTAGTGAAGGCAGTTGGCCCTGAGGGACCTGTGGCTCGGCACTGAATTCCCACCTCAGCTTGTATCTTGTGGGGCTGACTGACCCACCTTGCCTGTTCCTTTGGGGCCTGACCCTCCTGCAGGAAGTACCTCCCTTTCCTCCGGAAGTTCCCCGCTGAGTACATCTATGAGCCCTGGAAGGCGCCGCGAAGCGTGCAGGAGCAGGCAGGCTGCGTGATTGGCCGAGATTACCCCAAGCCCATCGTGGTGCACGAGGTGGTGAGCAAGAGGAACGTGGAGCGGATGAAGGCAGCCTACGCCCGGGGATCGGCCAGCACCACGGCCCAGTTGGAGGGAGGGGGTGGCAAGAAAGGTAATGACCCCCCCCCCCTTACCCGGAGCTGCTCTGTGGCTTGGCCTCTTGGGCTGGGGTTTGAAGTGCAAGGTACTGGCTGTGAGGAATGGGAGGAGACAATCCAGAGCAGCCCTCCCTTGCGGAGACATCATGGCTAGTGGCTATGGCTGGGACTCTAGGGACCTATGATCTAGTCCCAGCTCAGCCACTAACCTGCTGGGTGACCTTGGGATGTCACGTGACCACCCTGTGTCTTGGTTTCCCCATATATAAAATGGTGATAACACCACCAACCTCTTTGTAAGGCACTTTCAGACCTATGGATGAGAGATGCTGCGCAAGAGCTAAGCGTTAATTATTATTATTGCTGTATGGCTCTCCCTGCCATCTGAGAGATGCCTGAGTCTCCCAACCATGCCACCACATGCCAGCTTGCCAGCATCCACAGCTCTTAGGACTGTAGTGCAGTGTCTGAGCAGGGAAGACAGGACAGCCCTGCCCTCTTCAGCCTAATAAGCTGGCTGCTTGTTTCTCCCATTAGGTGCCAAAAGGAAGACACCTGCTGGTCCCTCTGTGGCCGAACTCCTGACAAAGAAACCAAAGACTAAGAGCAGCTGAATTCCTCAAGCACTGCCAGTGGATCTTGACAACGGGCCAGTCTCTTCTGTGCCACAGGGGGAGAACCCCAGGCAGCACAAGAGCCCATTCACATCCCATTTGGGCTTTATGAAGAGAGGCTCTGGGGTCTGTTCTAATCCCTTGACTGACAGCTAGGAGCCCTGGCCTTCTGAGTCCAGGGAAAGCCATGGTGGGGTTTTGGCACTACCTCTCTTCTTGGCTCAGGAAACTTTCTCATGCTGCACCCTTTCGTTCAGCCCCTTGAGCCTGTTCAGCGAACTGTCCTTTGGTGCTGGTGCTTTCTATGCTGCTCCCAGGCCAGAGGCTGAGTTTCTCTTTTGGAAAGGCCATTGCCATTGAGTGGATCAGTTTGTCTGAGTGCCTTAGGGTGAATTCACCCTACAGCACTCGGGGAGGTAGATGTTTCACCACCCCTGTTTTACACACAAGTGAACTGAGAAACCGAGCTTACTAGGCAGATTTCCAATGGGACCTGCTGGATCCCTTAAAAATCTGGCCATAATTGACTTGCTCAGATCACTGAAGGAGGCAGAGCTGGGAACTGAACCCACATCTTGCACTACATTCCAGTGCCTTCCACACAAGGTCCCCTTCCCTGGTTACTGCCCACTGCTTTCTTTATGCGGGTTGTTGCAGACAGTTAGCCAAAGGGTACATTTTAAACTTACCTCTCAGCAAAACAGTTCGTGCAGCCACCGACTCCTCTGGCCTGGGAAACGCCCCAGACTGCTGCATTGTGGGCTGGCTCCAAAGAAGCCAAAAGCACAGCAGGCTGTCAGGGAGCGGAAGAATTTTTTTTTTTTTTTTTTTTTTTGACGGGTACGTTATTAACTTGCTGGTGTGCCGAATGCCCCAGCCAGCCTGGCTGGGAATTGGTATTGGACTCCCTGTTTAAGCGTTGCTGCCCCCTTTGGCAGACAGCAGCTTGGGAGGCTAAAGTGATGGATGCTGGACATGGAGGTTGCCTTTTGCCCATCTTTGTACTGAGCATGAAATGCTGGATACTCATTGCCACCGTCCTTGGGACCTGTATGCCCTGTCTTGGGGCGTGTCCAACCCAGGCATAATTTCACTATCCCTTGGCTATGGTCTCCTGGGGTATTCAAGATATCCCTAGAAGCACTATGTGGAGTCTTACAAGAGCTAATGCATGGGGCAAAGCCGATCTTGATGTCCTAAGCCCAGCGTGGTGCACGAGGCGGTGAGCAAGAGGAACGTGGAACCAGATGCTGGTGGTGGGACTATTAAACCAGAGAGACTCTCTGACTGAGCCACAAGAGGAAGTGGATGGACCAGCCGATATCGGAGAAAGTGGGCTAGGGAGAGATGTTACTGAGGGGCAACCCGTCCTAAATTCTCAGTTACTGAGGGACAAACTACACTCATCGCTATACTTGCTTTCCACAAGCTACTCTTAGTATCACCTTTTAGGAGTGAGGTACCCAAATATTGGATGCTAATATCTCAACTGTACTGTTAAATTTATTTACCTAAGTTTGGGATATTACACATGATGTACTAGATGTATTTTATGACTTTTAAACCAAACTTTGTACTGGTGGCTAATTTAAGCATTACACCCAGCGGTATAGACACTCTTTCCTTAACCTGTGTATTCGATAACTAGCATTCGCTTTAATCAGATTTTAAATTTGCTCTTTCATTTACATTGTCTGTAGGTTTTGCTTCTGTTGTGGGGGAGGCTCAGGCTGCCTGTGCTGTTGGTCCCCACTCCGTCTTTACTGAATATATATATTTACTTCTGCTGAGCATTACCACTTAGACCATTTTAGGCAGATAAGTGACTGGTCTTTATGGCAGCTGACCCATGGCTGAAGGTATCAGCTGTGTTACCTCTTCTGGTTTATTTCCATCTTCTCTGTTCCTTCCCGTTAATGCATTAAGTGGTGGATGGTGACACGTTTTAGATTGGAAGCTCTTTGGGGCAGGGATTTTTGGGTGCGTGTGTGGTGCCCAGGGCTACAGCCGGGAGCTCCAGGTGCTGTGGTACCGTAGACAATGGCTGGCTTTTAGTGAAGCATTTAAGATTCCTGGGAATCAAGTAAGCAAGCTTATTGCTGTGTAGCCACCACAGCTGCCAGGACCCAGCACAGGTAGCTGCCAGGACCCAGCACAGGTACCCACCAGAGTAAGGACAAGGGGGAGTACTTCAATGTCATGACTACTCAAACTGCTCAAAAGATAATGCTAAGGCAGCCAAATGGAGCTGGAGGCAGCCACTTCCCCCCCCCAGCTTGTCTACAGGGGGCTGGGGAGAACAGAAAATTACTCACACTAGACGATGGAACCAGATGCTGGTGGTGGGATGTATTAAACGAGAGAGACTCGCTGACTGAGCCACAAGAGGAAGTGCTGCGTAGGAAAGAGGAAGTGGCTGGACCAGCTGATATTGGAGAAAGCGGGCTAGGGAGAGAAGTCTCCATGGTTCTGAAGACAGGCCACACGCTGCACAGCAGGAGGACCCCAACCCAAAGCATGTGCTAGAGTGGTGAGGAAAGCGAGGCAGGGAAGGGTGTGGAGTTATTTTTGTATAGATCAGTGGTTCCCAAACTTCAACAACCTGTGAACCCCTTTCACTAAAATGTCAAGTCTCGCGAACCCCCTTCTAAAAATGAATATTTCCAGGGATTTTCTCCTTTATCTGAGTATAAATTATAAAAGCAGTGATCTGGGAGATATAAAATTTGTTTTTATGACATGCATATTACACACTATTTATTATTATTATTTATCATAACAGTATTTTTATTACATTATGAAAATGGCAACACTCTTCCAAGATCTCACTTTCGTAGCTTGTATCACTTTGAATAAGCCTGTTATAAGACAAGGCTCCTATGTTTCATCAAGGAGTATCAGATGTGAAACAGCATGAAGGTATTTAAGAAGCCAACTCAAAGAGTTCCTCCTACACAAGCATTCAGGTCTTGAGCAGTCCAGGCAAACAATGCGCATTACAACAAAGCTTAAACTTGTTCTTCATAATAATTAAAAAAAAAAAAAATACTAGCTGCCTATTTAATTTTAAAAACAGCAAAAAATATCCACCTCCCTTTCCATTTCTTATAAGGAGTCTTGAAGTTTAAATCTCCTCAGTGTGATAGATCTACTTGCTTTGATCTGCTTAGCTCTTGGAAGTCCAGGGGCTCCGGGCTGCTGGTCAGCTCTGTCCGCCATTAGGGAATTTTTTCCTGAGAACCCCCTGTAACATTTTGTGAACCCCAGTTTGGGAACCACTGGTATAGATCTATTTCTTGTGCTATTAAAGGAAGATCAATGGGTAAGAATCCTCTGCAAAGCCTCTGTGTAGCATATACCACACATCTACCATATGCATCTGAAGATGGAAACTGGGGGCATAGATCACCACCCAGCTGGAGTTCTGGAACAGGGTGTGTTTAGAAGGCAGCTCGGGGCAGCTCTGATCTGGGGCCTGTGGAGTGGGCCACATAGTCACAGTGCCCTAAAGCATCCCTCAAAGACTGCAGAGCCTTAAAACAGCGGAATACCCTCACAGCTGTCAGGTAAGCAGCCCAGATGGGATGCAAATGAAAGCCCAGGTCCCCCATACAGCCCTGCTCCACTCAGGGTTCCTTACTTTCTCCCAATGCAGTTTGCCAGTAGCACATGGCAGGGGCTGGCACACGTGCTCAGCCAGGCCCTGCTCCCCAGCTCACTGAAACCGATGGGAGTTTTTCCTGGGACTTTGGATGAAATGCAACTGTCAGCAAATGCAATGCAGCCCTGAATGGGGTGAGCGTGCCATCCTTAACCACACACACATCCTGCCACCGTCACAGCCCCTTGCTGCATCATCACTTTATTTCAGTACAAATCACAAGTGAGGATCTGACACAAATCTCTGATGTGCAATTGGAGCTGCACAGAGGCAGCGCAGGCTTGCAGTGAGGTAGGTGGGGGGCACAGCCCTCCTGGGTCATCTGCCCCCACTCCCCTCCTAGAGGATCGCAGCACTTTTGGGATGGGACAGCAGCTGGGAGCTATTTCCCATTCTAAACTCCTCCTTCCCCTGCCCCACTCACCCACTGTGGCCCCCAGGCATCACACTCCTCTTCTCCCAGCTCCCTGCAGCGCAAGGAGGGGCTCAAAGCGGGGGTAGAGTTCTAGATAGCAGCCACCTGGCCCTGCTGGTTCCCAGCCCAAGGCAGGGGTGACCACTGCCAGCAATGGCCACTTCCCAGGGAACGCCCATCTCAAACCAGGCAGGGTTTGGCAGCAGCTCAGCTGTTAGACAGCCCAAGCGTCCAGGCCATGCTGTGCCAGTCACGGGAGACCAGCAGCGTGTGTTTCACCCATTTGTGATCTGTCACCTCTGGAATAGCTTTGATCTTCCTTCTCTGGGCCGTGCAGACCCCCGACTTCAATTCTGTTCCACTGAAATGGAGTCGGCACTTCAGGAAAGTGAGTGAGGTTTTAGTAACATCAACAGGTTACTCCTACAGGCATTCTGCGCCCCCAAAAATTAAAAATTCTGTGCCAAAAAGTTAAAAGTTCTGCAAAATTTGGCAAATTTGATTTGGCAAATAAATGTGGTGGCTCCAGCATGGCATTGGGGAGCACGGGCCACTGGCTGCACAGAGGTGGGAGATCACTGTGCAGCTCCCCCCGGGACACAGACTCAGTGGTGAGGCTGCACCCAACCCTGGCCTGCCCCAGAAACTCCAGGGACCTACCCTTCCGTGCCAGGTGTGTGCAGGCAGGTTCAGCAAGACAGGATCCAAGTGTGGAAGGGCTTAGGGTGGGGGGGGGGGATCTAGGTGTGGGTTGAGAGGGTTTTGTGTGGGGCACTCTGGGTGCGGGCAGCTCAGTGGAGATCTGGGTGCCAGGGGAGGGAGCGGGTCTGGATGCACAGGAGCTTGTTGGGGGGTTCTGGGTGCAACCGTAACAGGACTCTGTAGGGGGGGTCCAGGTGAAGGTGATTGGGGCTCAGTGGGGGTGGTGGTCTGGGTGTGGGGAGCTCAGTGGGGTGGTCCAGATGCTGGGGGAGTGGGGCTTAGTGGGGTTGAGATCCAGGTGCAGGTTGTGGGGCTCAGTAGGGTGGGGATCTGGGGCGGTTCAGGTGCAGGGGGAGTGGGGCTTGTCAGGGGGGTTCTGAGTGCGGGGGGGTGGGTGAGGCTCGGCCAGAGGGTCTGGGTATGAAGGGGTCTGGATGAAGGGGGTTGGGCGGATGGGGGAGCAGCTCCCTGTACAGCGATCCTCGCCCTGCAGCTGAGGAGCGATAGGTGAAGGAAGTGCAGGGGGTGGGGGAACAGTTTGCAGTTTCCTACAGCTGGGGGAGGGTCTGACACAGCGCCAGATGCTGTGCAGGGGAAGAGGAAGTCCCATCCTCCCCAGCCTAGCAGCTGAGCCCAGCCCAGGGTACGAGCCACCAGCCGGGTCTTCCCCAGTCCCACCCGCTGCCCCATAGTGATTTACCTCTCTGCCGGCTGCCCTGGGCACCCAAAACATACTGCTGGGGAGGGTCATTTGACTGCTCTTGTGGCTTCCCTGAAAGAAAGTCATTTTTCTGCGGGGAAGCAAAGAAATCTGTGGGAGACACAAATTCTGTGCATGCCCAGTGGTGCAGAATTCCCCCAGGAGTAATCCAATCAGTCTCTGGCTGAGGAACAGCACTATCCTCCTGCCTTGGCCAGTGCTCCATGTACAACAGGATGAATCCGCAATTAGCCATCCAGCTCCTTGCAGGGATTCATGAGTTTTTGCTCCTCTTGGCACCTTAAAATCAAGGATCTCAGAACATTTTGGGAACTTAATGCTCTGCGTGTCTGGGCACTGCTATGGCCTGCTCCCGAGGGCATTCAGGGGAGGATCGCTACAGACAATAACAAGACACTGGCTGTAAAAACACATGCTGTGGCAGGATGTTTGTTTTCCACCTCCTCCAAGACCAGCAGTGCCAATGAACTTCCATGCCTATAGTGCCTTCAGTCCAAAGGGTACTAAAGCATTTTGCAACCCTATTGGGGGGGAAGCGATTAAAATTCTACACACAGGGACCATTTTAAGTAATGCTGGAATGCAGCCCCTCTGGGGTGGAACGTGACATCTATATACCAGCATACAACAGTTTGGGATGGGAAGTGAAGACAAGGGACACTGGAAGGGCTATGGAGGTAGGCAGAATGATTAGCCAAATTGGAATTTGACCCGAAAAATGAGGCCTTGAAGAAACAGGAGGATGGGATTAAGATAAAGCACTCTAAGATCCATGGGTCCATATGAACAGCCTCTAACACGGATGTTCTTAGTCTCCCAGCTGTTAAGGACTTCACCCTACATGCAGGAGTTGGAAGACAATAGGCTGTGGAACCAATCGGTTAATTCCTGTTCCCAGGATGAGCACAGCCTAGAAAAGAGCTGGTGCCTTTTGGAGCTTGGAGTGGTTAGACACGGGACAGGCGGATGTATCACAGGCTCTGATGGAGAGATAGCCTGTTTCTGCTACGGGAACAGGGAGCGAATGGCTCCGAGTGGGATATGGGGCCTTTCACCTCACATGAGCAGGCTGAATCTGGCCCATATTAGCAGTAGCTGGACACAGCAATTATCTGAGATCTGTATATGGTTTGTGGGATACACAGAAGCTGTCAATCCCTGGGGCGGATGAGCCAGCACCAGAGACCTCGAGAGACGTCCGGGACACCAGGCAGGTAGAAAGGGCACATAGATGTGTCTGAGTACAGGCTGCTGCCAGCCCTGTGCTGCAACCTCCATCACCGAGCAGGGGCAGCTAATGGTGTGATTGGGTCAACAGCTGGGAGGAGGGGAGAGAGGGATTCAGGAGTCAAAACCAACAGGCAGCGTTGCCTAGTGAGTAGAGCAGGGGCCTGGATTCTATTCCCAGCTCAGACGGCATGGCCCATGGCTAGTCACTTCTCTCCATACCTCAGTTTCCAGATCAGGATCCTGAACTAACAAGCTGGCGGTCAGGCTGCAGAGCTCCGAGATGCTCATAGGAGCGGACAGAGTGTTACGGATCTAGGGAGGAGAGGAGGTGGGACCCACCTGCTGGGTGGTTAGTTCCAAGGTCTCAGACAATGTTCCTCTCGAGGACCTGCTCCCCAGAGACGAACCTGTTGAAAGAGAACTTCTCCATGTGGGTGGTGCTGAACTTGCCATTCAGAATGAGCTCGGCCAGAACCTTGCCCGCCGCTGGCGACTGCTGCAACCCGTGCCCGCTGAACCCCGTGATGAAGAGCATGTTCTCCACCAGCGGGTGCGGGCCCAGCACAGCGTTCTGGTCAAACGTGTTGTAGTCGTAGTAGCCAGCCCAGGCACTCTTCACCTGCCCAAAGAACACACATTCAAGGTCCTGCAGGCCAGTGGGGCTGACCTATCCACCAGGAAACCCCCCTCACCTGGCACTGACTCCCTGTGTTGGCAGCCCCAGCAGGGAGGCCCAGGAATGAACAGACCAACCAAACTCACCTCTCACGCCTGAGGAGTGTCTCATGGGGAGGGCTGCGTGAGGGGGAAGCTTGCGTGAGGACAGAGGCCTCCCATCCCCAGGGATGTCACTTTAAAGCAGCTCCCCACTCTCCTCTCACCTGGCCCATCATCCCCACCAGGCACCCGTCCTTATACCGCCGCAGGGATACAAGCTGCTGTAGCTCTGCCAGCTTGGGCGCTCCTGCACTGCCATGCTACCCATCAGATCACATCAGCAAACCTTCCCCTTCCCCTTCCCCAGGGTTCTCCCAGCCAGGACGGGGAGAGGGAGGGAGAGACGTTCACGTCCTCATCCTCTTTTCTCAAGGTGAACAAGCACAGGGATGCGCAGGCCCGTTACCTTCAGGGACTCAAACACTGGCACCCGATGGGCCAGATAGGGCCAGATCTTCTCCTGGAAGAAATTGTGATCGACTTCCAGGTCTTGGATGTCTGGCTCTTCCTCCTGGGGGTGGGACCAGAGTGAGGCTTTGTACCCCAAACAGACAGCGACCCACAGCCCTGGTGCCAGAGCTCAACAGGGAGCTACCTGTTAGCAGCCTGAGCTGGGAGAGGCTGTTCGCGAGCAGGCATTCAGGGGGCAGCTCAGACAGTAGCACTGTTTTGCATGGCAGCGTGATGGAGCCGGGCTTTGGTGCTGCAACAGCACAAGTGCTGGCTGTGGGCTTACAGAGCCCAGTCTAGGGGAGCAGGTCACCGTCCGGGGACGCTGGTGGGGGCAGGGCTGGTTCCATTCTGCTCCTGTGAAGCTCCAGGGCTGAGAGCTCCCAAAGAGCCAGGGGGGAGGGAGTAATGGTACCCATGTGAGATTGGGATTCTGTAAAGATGGGGTGGATGCATCTGCTCCCGACACTGGAGAGATGCTGCCAAGCCCCATGAAAAATTCCCCCACTCTAAAGAGACCGATTACATGTGCTCAAGGGCCGTGTCTGACAGCGTAGGAGCAGAGCAGCTCAGTCAGTGGGGGGAGACTCGGATCTGCCAAAAGCCGTTTCCATTACACCGTCCCCCTCCCGAGTCCTACACTGCAGCCTTTCCCTCCTACAACAGAGTGCTCCCTGCAGTTCATCAACACTACTCCAATCAGCCAGAGAGGGCGCTGGTGAGCAATAAAAACACTCCCCCTTGGTTGGTTCCCATTTAACTGAACCCAGGTTGCCTGATGGTGTGAGTTGCCCGCTGCTGTGGGTGAGACGTGGGGGGTTGGGGGAGGGGCACAGTGCATCACGGCATGTCCTGACTGTGGGCACAGTCTAAAGTGACCAAATCCAGTTCACCCCCTATCTATAGGGTCATCACTCCCCTTCCCCCCCCCCCCCCTCCCGGGTCCTCCCCCCCCCCCCCCCCCCCCCCATTACGGGGCTTATCGCTCCCCCGCTGAGCCCTCCCCACTTCCCCCTTTATGAGATGATTCGCTGGTTACGACTGCCTCGAGACCCAGACTGACTCACCTCTGCCGGGCTGAGGCTTCCCAAGTAGTTGCCTCCAACGCCTTCCCGGCGGAAATAAGCCCCCGTGGTGTCAACCAGCATGGGACAGTCCAGGCCGGGCCCATCGGGACAGTGCCACACAAAGATATACCTGGGAGTAGCGGGGGCGGAATCAGTTGGCTAAGGGACTGAACGCCAAACCCCCGCCCCCCCCCCCCTTCCCGGGGTTCAGCCAGAGCCCTGGGAGCCAGAGCAGACACAGGGAAGAAGTTTCTGGAGGGTGTGAGCAGTTTGGGGCAGGGGCTGCCTTTTTATCAGCCCCCTGGACAGCACCGGGCACTATGCCAGCGCTTGCCCAAGCCAGGCAGTCAGAATCCAGCCTCCCAGTCCTTCCCAATTTCCAAGGCTCCTGCTCTTCCACCTTCCCAGAGCGACAGAACCGAGCGCAGGGTATTTCTCGCCGACCTACATTCCCTAGCACAGCGCAGTCGCCCTGCGGGAACGCACCTCGTTTCACAACTTAACCTAGTCACTGTAGTGCTGAAGCTTCACTTGGCCCAACCAGCTACGCTCTTCCCCAGCCCACCCCCTTACTGGAGACATGGAAGCCCCCGGAAAAGGAATCAAACCTGAACGTGCAAATCAATGCCCATGCCTCACAGAGCCCGACCTCCCAGGGCTTCAGCCTGCGGAGCCCTCCCCCGCCCCGGATCCTGTGTCACCTCTCCCGCTCTGTGCTAGTTCTACCATTGGCCCACGCCATGTTATTTAACCCGCACCTTTTCCTGGGCTCCACTGGTAGCTTGATCCCTTCTTGGGTGTTGGGTGGTCCGATCCCAATGCCGGCCATCTCGGCCAGCTTCTGTGACCAGGGACCAGCTGCATTGACCACCAGGGAGCACTCCACTGGCTGGTACTCCACACTGTTGGGCATTTGGACCTGGAAGGCACAAGAGGGAGAGCAGTGAGCTTAATAGACCCCAAAGAGCCCTGGGTGCCAGATGCCCCATGAAGGCTTTCCAGGCAGCCTGCAGGCAGAGCAACAGGGCTACACTAGAGGGGGTGTCATGGAATAAAGAGGGGAACTGCCCCCCTGAATTACCCTGCACTGGAAACAGATGTTGGGGAGCCACCGCTTCATGGGGCAGAGCAAGAGAAGGGGGAGGGCAGGAGTGGCTGTGCATAGGGTGCTAGAGAGCAGGAAGCGGTGAGGAGAGACAAAGATGGTCTTGTGGTTATAGCATGAGGCTGGGCAGCAAGAGAACCCAGTTCTCTTCCTGGCTCCGCCACTGACTCAGAATGTGGTCTTGAGTGAGTCCCATCATCACTCTGTGCCTCACTTTCCCCATCTGTTAAAGTGAGATAATATTAGTGATTTACCTCATGGTGGGGGAGAGTGGGGAGAAAATGAAGCAAAGAGGGAGCATCACACAATGAGTCCATGGCAGAGGTGGGAGTAGAATCTGGAGTCTCACCTCCTGTGGAGACCCACTGCCTAGGTTCTTGGACTAGGAGGTATTGCTGTGTTGATACCCTGGCTCCCACGGACACATGGCCCCACACAAAGGAGAAGAAAGCTTTTCAGTTATGGGGTGTGTTCGGATTTCAAGACCAGAAGGCCCAGCTATTATCCAGTCTGACCTCCAGTGTAGCACAGGCCAGGAGATTCCGCCCAGTGACTTCTGCACCGGGCCCCAAGTGACTTGCAGCTGAGCTGCAGTGGAGCTTTTTGGAAGACAGCCAGTCTCAATCTGAAAAACTCCAAGTAATGGTGAACCCACCACGTCCCTCAAGGAGCTGTTCTAATGGCCAATTACCCTCACTGTTAAAATATCCCCTGGTCAGGGTTACCAGTATGACCCCAACTCAGCCCCCTAGTGCATATGTCTTAGGATATCATCATTAATTACATGAACTGATATTTTTCTTCCACACAGGTGATCAGCAGGGTCAAGCCCAGGACCCAGCACAGATCTCTCCTGTCTGAGCTATGACACTACCAGTGGGACCAGACCGCTGGGGGATTACTTACGCGGACATAATTAATGCGGGAGAAGGTCAGCTCCCCCTCAGGCGTCATTATTTCTCGGGAAGAGATGGTAAAGGCTGGGAAAGAGAAACAGAAAAAACATGCAGCAAACAGCAATTTGCTCACTCCCTTCAAATACCTCTGAGGATCTGGGCCTCTCTGCAGCAGGCACAACTGGGTAGTCTGCACAGCTTGTAAGTAATACACAAAGACTAGCTCTCCGCAGTGCAGAATTACCCATCACTGCTAGAGAATAGCCTACAGTCCCTTCGCTAGCACACAATTCCAATAAGCCATTCAAACTAAAATCTAACAGCTGTTCATTTGTTTTCAATACATTTAATGATCCCTGCTCTGTCATGGTGTTCGCTCACTGATCCGTAACGTACAGTGATCAGTAACAGGCAGGCACACAGCTCACGAGTGAGTCACAGGAAAAAGGGGAGGGGGGAAATCACTAGTCAGATTATTGAGAAATTTAACTTGTGCTAAACCACCCAAGACCAAGGATACATCAGAGATATTGTATGCTAGATGCTGTGTGCAGTAAATATACTTAGCTCTCATACAGTGCTGGTCAGCCATAGATCTCAAAACGCTTTACAAAGATAGGTAACTGTCCTTAGCCTCATGTTACAGATGGAGAAATAAAGACACAGAGATTAAGTGACTTGCCCAAAGTCACTTACTGATATTGTGGCAGAGCTAGGAATAGACCTTATGTCCCCTGACTCCCAGCTCTGTCCTTATTCCATTAATCCCCATCTGCTCATTTACCCATTCCACAGTACTTCAGATAGACAGCCATGGAATTTAACCTCGAATTGCAGACATCAGAAATGGACTGTCCCGTGTGGTACCATTTAGGTGAGTCTCTGAGAACAGGCCTGCATTGTTCCTTACAGGAGATACTCTCCAATGCTTCATCTACTATAATTTGAAAAGAGCAGATGAGGAAAGTGACTAGAAAAAGTTTGGCAGGTTTGTCTGTTTATTTTTTAATTAAATGTTTGGCAGGTAAAAAGCTTTGGTTCCAAGCCCTGAGCTCAGAGCTCTGTTTCTCCCGCTACAGCTGATGGAATCCCTGGTTTCCAAAGCAGGGCACAGAGTTACATTCCACGCACTGCTTAAAGTCTGTGACATCCCCACTAAGCGGTGGCAGGGGAAACAGAATCCTGGACTCCAATCTGGGCCAACAAATGATATTAATTTTCAATTGTTTCTAAAATACATTTCCAGAACTGACACCTACACATTTATGTTTCCAATTCACAAGGTCTTAAGTGGTTTTGGCAGCTATTTATTTAATTTTATCAGCTGTATTAATTTTCCCATCTTACTTTAAAGATAGCAGCACAACAACAGCTGAGCAACCCCTAAGTCCCTGCTAGATCAGTACCAAACCCCTAATGCTACTACTTGAAATCCTACATGCTCCTTTGAGGGCTCCCTTCCAAGTAATAACCAGATCCAATGCTGCTTAGCTTAGAGGATCTCAGCACATGGTACTGTGACAACCCTACAGGGGGAGTCAATACTACTTCAGCCTCAAACAGTGAGAGGGGCTCACTTACACACCACTTCTCCGAAGCACTGACAGACGCCCATGGACATTGCTTTTCTCCTGAAGGCATTGAGGAGGGACCAAGGATCAAACCAACCCTCATTTTCTAGGCCTAAAGAAAGAAGAAATGGACACATGGAAGAGCAGGCATGAACGAAGCAACCATTCAACCTCCCTAAATGTAGGATGCCTGCAAAGTACAGCCCCAATCCTACAGATACTTGTGCTCCCGCTTAACGCTATGCATGAAAGGTTCCACTGAAGTCAACAGAATTAGTCACAAGCACAAAGGTAAGTGTGTGCATAAATACCTGTGCGTTTAGCAGATGCACTATGCAGACAGGTATGTATTATTATCCCTATTTTATAGAGGAGGTGAGGTAGCTAGGCCAACTAGGGTTTGTTGCTGCTTAAGGTATCAATTTCTTTCTTTAATATATAGGTATCATTCAGCAACAGACAAGTATTTAATGTATAGTTGCATAAAAGTTACACCAGTTCCCAGCAACGAGCACTTTAATGAAGGGTGAATTCCAACTTCCATTCTACCTCCATTTTTGTTTTTCAGTCTTGTCAAACAAATTCTCATTGGTCTGAATGCTTCCATTTTTGATCTCATCCAAAAGATGAATTTGTTTGGAGTGTTTGAATGAGATCCGTCCTGTTATTTCCAAGTCAAGCAGCCAGGAAGATAAAACACTTTCCCCACACATTCCAACTGAGGATTTTATGCTCAGGTAACTCAAGTGGGTGAAGCTAGAAATTTTAAACTTGGCTTGATTTATAGACCTCAATGGGGAAGGGAAAACAATTCAAATTTGAAGGAAGTCTGTATGATAATTTTAGAGACGTGAACGTGTAACGTCAGCATCTCTACGCAAATGCATTTGAATTCTATTTCCCCTCCCCAGTCTGATGCGGTGATGCCTTCAGTTAAGTGTGTTCTCCGCAGATAGGTCAGAAAAAGTATTGCTGAGTTTCTCCCCTCTATTTCCCTGAGGAAAAAACAGGGAAATTAAATACAAAAACCTAATATTAATGTACAATTGAGAAATCAAGCACCCAAAAGTTACATTTACATGGCCATATTGTACATACATTCTTAATGGTATTCCCGTCTGCCTTGTTAAATGAAAGCCCTGTTGTACTGTTGGTTTTATTATTAGAGGTGTGCCATGAAACAGACAAGACGTAACAAGCTGGGTTAAATATTTATCAGAAACCTTAATTTTTGGCACTTTCTTACTTTGGACTTTGATTTTTCAGCCCTCACATGGCATTTAAGTGTGGTTTTGCACTTAATATCTAAGAGCAGGATTGGCCTTTGTAATGAAAGCTGGTCTTTTCAGTTCCTTCTGTAGTTTCAGAGACATCCATTACATTTTCTTTTTCATTTTACTTCTCTAATATTTAGAGAGACTGAAGTGCAAAGGGAGTTACTTTTCCCCATGGGGTGGGCAGGGGTCTAGCATTTAGATACCGTAGGATGCCACAGCCACACCATCGGTATTTATCCAGGGATACTTCTTCTTCAGTTGTGCTGGTGACAGAAGGGAGACCTCAGCTCCTTCGGTCCTGAAAAGCCATTAAATATACATCAGAACATGCTGGTTTTAGTCCTGATACACCCATTGTTAGGAAACACATGGGAGAAGATCTGGAGAGAATGGAGCATAACCACTAGGGGAAAAAAAAAAAAAAAAAAAAGGGAAACCCAGGATGTTTTGTGACTTGAAAGTTTCCTCACCCTGCCCCACCCAGCAGTTCTGCTTCTCTCTCTCCAGATCTCCTCCCCATGCTAATGGTACAAGGCTCCTCACCGCTAAAGCCCTTCGTGTGCTAGGTCTCAGCTGGCTCAAGCCCATCTCTCTTCCTGCTCCTCTTCAGCTGGAGACCCCAGCCCCTGTGACCTTCTCAGTAGAAGGCCCCTGGCTACAGAAATCGCTATCCATAGACTCAGACTTTAAGGACAGAAGGGACCATCGTGATCATCTAGTCTGACCTCCTACACATTGCAGGCCACAGAACCTCATCCACCCACTCCTGTAATAGACCCCTGACCTCTGGCTGAGTTACTGAAGTCCTCAAATAATGGCTTAAAGCCTCCCAGTTACAGAGAATCCACCATTTACACTAGTTTAAACCAGCAAATGACCCATGCCCCATGCTGCAAAGGAAGGAGAAAAACTCCCAGGGTCTCTGTCAATTTGACTCAGGGGAAAATTCCTTCCTGACCCCAAATATAGCGATCAGTCAGACCCTGAGCAGGTGGGCAAGACTCACCAGCCAGACACCTGGGAAAGAATTTGCTGCAGTAACTTAGAGGCCCCCTCTCCCCACAATCTAGTGTCCCATCACCAGCCATTGGAGATATTTGCCGCTAGCAGTCGCAGATCGGCTACGTGCCACTGTAGGCAGTCTCATCGTACCACCCCCGCCATAAACGTATCAGGCTCAGTCTTGAAACAAGTTAGGTTTTCTGCCCTCACTGCTCCCCTTGGTTACCACTGGAAATGGCCAAATCCAGCTACCTTCAAAGGGCCAGGCAAGACCCACCTGTTCACACAGGACTTGTGACCATCTCGGTTCATTGCCAGGGAGCGTATGCCAGTGGGACCTTGTGTGACCCAGGGCTGCTCAGTGCCAAGGGTCCAGCACCTCTAGTCAAATCTCACTCTGCGGGAGGGCTGGTGGGGAGTGGGGGCAGGAGGGGAGCTCAGGTAGGGCAAGGGGCTAATGCACAAGCCCCTCCCATCTAAAGATCTGGGCTCTAGCGGCTTTGATCACATGGGAAAAGGAATAATTTAGTGGCCTCTCATCCTGGCCTTTAGGGAAGCACCACGGGTTTTCCACCATCTCAGGAGAGGCCCAAGGCTGAGGTTAGCAGGGAGGGGTGGGCAGGCCAGGGTTGGGGTGCAGTAGCAAAGCTGGGTGAGGGGGGGCAGAGGTCTCACAGAACATGGGAAAACCCCAAACTAGAACAGCAAGGGACAGAGTGATGGCAGCTGCCCCTGCATGCAGATGCTGGAGGCTTCACCTCTGCAGAGCTGAAGGGAGTTCAATACTTCTGAACTGGTGTGGCAATAAAGGCAGTAGCCCTAGCTGTCCTCTGCCCCAGGAGCCCAAGCCTGGCTCTGCTCCAAGGGTAACTGCGTGGGCTGTTTGCTACAAGGTCGGCTGGCCAATATCAGCCGCTACATCCATGGCCTCGCTTCCCAGCTCCCACTGTTTCACCCGCCGAGGGGCTGTACCTCTGAATGCGCACGTTCTCCTCCAACTCCGCAGCTCTGTCTTCCAAGGCCAGGAAGAGGTACCCCGAGTGGTTAAACTGAATATCTATGGGCGGCTCGTTCACAACCCCCAAATGCTCCTGGGGACAGAGAGCACCTGTCAACACTCCGGTCACTGATCTGATTCAGGCAGACGCAGAGGGAGAAAGACCTGGGACCCATTCAAGAGACCATCACTGCATTATCTCCCCATAAAATGGAGGAGCTGCTCTGGTTTGGCAACCCCCTCTGAGTGACCTGTCCTCCTCTGCTAGAGACCGCCCTTGGAGCCCCTCAGTGCGGCTTTTCGCTCTGCCAGAGGGGTTGCTGACAAGCTGCATAGGCCCCCTCAGTCTCCCTAGCGACTGACAGCATCACCCATGCACATTTCCCAGCACTTGTCAGCTTGGGAGCGAAGATGAGACTCGAACCCAGGTCCTTTGCGTGGCCATGAAGAGTGTGGCCTGGGTACTGTTTGTTCAGTGCTTCAGCATGCAGAGAACAACAGAAAGCCAGAGGTATTACTAAGCATAGGCCACTGACTGATCATTCTCTTCCAGAAGAGACACAGGGTCAAATAGCAATCTGAGACACTGGTGTAAATCCAGAGCAACTCCAGATTTACACCAGCGAGCAGCAGACTCAGGTCCACAAGCAGGTACAATCAATGCAGCGATGACTACATTGTCACACACACACACGCAGCTAATTAAGTGAACCATACTACGCTCCACCTGCAGCCATGGCGACAAGGGGGTTCAGCATGCCTGTAGCTCCCCTAAGCCTCCTGACTCCAAACTCTCTCTAGCACGGAGCTTGCAGGCGTTGAGGCCCCTGGAGAGTCAAGGCCCTAGCGCCTCCCTTCCATCCTTGGCCAGTGTGACGTACGTTGATCGTGCGCAGGAAGAACGCTGAGTAGAGGGACATCTGGATGTTTTCTGGCAAGGAGAACTGCTGCCGAATCCCTCCCGCAGAGAGCACCGTGGAGGCTTGCGAGTACTGTAGGGAAGCCAAAGGGGCAGGGGAAGGATGGTCAGGACGGCAGAGTTACCAGAACAGAAATGAGGCAGCAAGTTTTCAGTTCTTCCCTTTCACAAGCTCTAGTGAAAGGCCCAGGCCCTGAAGACTGAACTCACCTATTCACGGGGAGCAGAGCCAGGAAAGGTAGCAGTGGCGCAAGAATCCCCTGATGCTGCCCTACCAAGGAACCCTGGGAACTCCCTCTAATGGGCAGAGGGGAGATCGCTTTCCATGGACCGTTCACTCCTGTGTTGGTCTCCTAAGACTATCAAGAGGGTGATGGGGGCACTTGCCCTTTGGGAACCGGAGAGGCCACCAAACAGCTTGCAGATGGCAACAACTTTTGGTCCCTTCCATCCTGGGCTGGAGTCCAACCACTGACCTTGAGTCCGCATCTCGCATTAGCAAGCCCTGTTCCCACATGCTGTCCCTAGCGGGGGGTTAACCTACAGGCTAGGGAGACCCTAAAAGAGCAGGAATGCAGCTACCCCGTCATGGGTGGCCAAAGCCCGCAGCAGTCCCATCCCAACCCATCGATGGGTAAAGAAATACGATGGCGAGGAACAAGGACGAACTCACAGATGCAAAGACAAATCAGAAGATAACAGGACTGAAAAGGACCTCCTGGGTCATCACAGGCAGCCCCATACAATCTCATTCTTAAATTTATCAAGCTCCAATGCAGAGAGAGCAGAGACCAACTGACCCACTGGTGTGTCCTGGCTCTGCCTAAGCAACGTCTTGAACATACAGGTGCTGATCTATTTTAACACCATGGAACATGATCAAAATAAACGGGCTGGAACACTGTAACCCTCTACATGCTGGTCTGAGAGTCACTACTGGATCACCCAGCCCAACCCTGCTCTCTGCAGGGCCAGCCACTACGTCCTTCCCCACCGACCCCTTCTCTAATCAGTCTCTGCAGCCTCCAGCCCTCCCAGGGGGAGTCCGTTCCACTGCCCTGGCTGCTAAGAACCTCTCTCTCCCCACAATGCTCAGCCTAAGTTTTTCCTTCCTTCACCTTGGGCCATTGCTCCTTGACTCCCCGCATTAGTACCATTACTCTGCAGCTCTGATTCTCCTCCCACACTGAGCTGACTTGTACTTATTGGGTTCCCAGAACCCAATAAGTAGAAGGACCCCCCCTCCCAGCCTAAGGGGAAGATCTGCTAAAGGACCCCCCCCCCCAGCCTAAGGGGAGGACCCACAGGGCCTAAAACCCAAATGATTACGGGGGACAACTAATGGAAAAACAGGGACAGGAGTGCGGTCAAAGGGTCAAAAGAAGGGAACCTGACGGGGACACCGAGCAGAGAACCC